GGGGGGGGGGGGGGGGGGTCATTGCAAGCAATGAACTTCCCATTGCCTTCTCGTCATTAAGCCGAAGTGATGAAGCTCCTTCAATCGCTCAGTGAAGAGCCTCCCATGCACGGTTTTATTTTATTTTTTTATTAGAGTATTTCACCGGGACAGACGTTTTCATGTTACACCACTTGTGTGAATACAAACAAACAGGCTCTAAGACACACACGGTATGACACACACATGGATTCCAAACGGACTTCAGACACAGGAAACACACGCTCAGGATAATTACGACCGGTACGTGTTAACGAGGCTCTTGCATGACAACCTGCACGGCGGTGAATGGCTCTAGGTGGCACAACCATTGAGACGTACTGTCTACTGCGTGTGAGAGCACTAGACAGCTGGACACTGCTGGAGACCTCTGGAGTAGGCAGCTGGAAGGGAAGAGTACCTGGATTGGGACAGGGCAGCAGGCTGCAGTGGGTCACTGGTGAAATATTAAGCATTGCAGTTAGTAGGGGGAGTTTCACCTGGAAAGTGCCAATGATGGCGGTGATGCAGGGAGCTCAGTTCTGCTTTCATGCTGCTTTTATCTCAGTGCAAGGCACACGGCTTCAGGTGAGTTGCTTTGATTGACTCTGGTGGGAGTTGGAGCAAAATTGCAGCCCAGCGGCTGTATTAGGCTGCTGGAACAACCCGGGCTGGGGAGGAGGTGGGAGGGAGGATCACCTCTTTAACCCCAGGATGCTACTGTGCCTCATGCACTACAGCAGGAGTTAATTTGGTACTGGCCCCTTGGGAAGTCTTGCTTTTTGTGCATAACTAGGCCATGACAATGAGCAGGATGTGCTGAGAGCAGAGGAATGGAAGGAAGGCAGAACAGGGGAAGCAGACGAGGAAGTTACTGGGATTAGGGCTTTGTAGAGTTAAAAAAAGGAGATTATCAAACTAGCCCAGCTCACCCAAAGGTACCAAGAGAACCAAGCCCATGTCTATGGAGAGCCACTCAGCATTAGTGGCACCAGAGCCAAAATCGCTTCTCAGTTGAACCCTACGGCCTCGCCTGATGCCACGTTCTTTCAGCCTCATTGCTTGCTAGCGCAGCCTGTTGGGAGCCACACGACCCTTTGAGCCCTGTCTGCACTTTACCTGGCGACACACGGAGTCCCTGTGCCATCATTTAGGTGTAGCAAAGCCAGCCTTTGGGTAGGATGCGTAAGGGCCCTTCCGTCTTTAAGATGTTTGGTCGCAACAGCCCCAGAGGTGAAGGACTTGATTGGCAGGTGGCAAACCTGCTGTGCAAACCAGAGGCCAGACCCAAAACCCGGTGAAATCAGCCGATTCCCACCTCATCAGAGGACCCAACTGATGGAGGTCTTTTGTTACACAGACATAGGACACAAGAGATGAGCAGATGTGTTCAATGCGTGAATTCTGTTTAGACTTAGATTTCGGAGCCGTTGCAGTCTAACCTGTTGTGCTCTCGCTGGTTGTACGTGGCCCCACCTTGTTCTAACAAATGCATCCCTTGTGGTTATCTCTATTGCTCATCCATGCAACAGGAAACCTCCTAAAACAGAAGGTGATGTCCCTAGCTGCAGCTGAAACCCAGTGCTGCTGGGAGAAGAGGCTCAGGGGGCATCTCAGGGGCATCTTGTGTATTGGAGGCCACTTGTAGGATCAGGTGGACATAGCCTGTGATCTTGGGGAGGATTATAGAGGTGTTGAGCTCTTTGTATGAGGTGAGCAACATGCTGTTTCCTCTGCATTGGGAAACACTCGGATTTGCATTGCCAGGGCCAGTTTTTTAGCCTTCATTGCACCGGTCTGTCAGCAGCACCCTCACCAGCTCAGAAGAGCTACATTTAAAAGGGAGGGATGTTTCTACACAACGCAGCTCAGCTCTGGATCCAGGTGCTGCCCAGAGCCTGGGGCTGGCTGGCAGTAAAGTCTTGGTTTAGTTAACTGAGAGATGGAAGCCAGTCAAAATTGGGATTTGGGAGGGTTTCAGCCTACCAGCGCCGGGGCAAATCAGTCAAGAAGGACTGTTACTAGACTGGTACCCAAGGTTTATTCTTCACTTCCAGCATCTTTGCCCTCCTCCGTTACCTCAGACTGATGTTACACAACAGCTGTGCAGTGAGCGCAGCTGAAATACATGCAACGCTGCACTGCATTTGCTTTGCAAAGAAAGGAACAGCAGTGCACCGGAAAAATGCAGGGTTGCACACACCGTGGCATGGTTCAGTTGAGGTTTTCCAGACCTGGGGACCTAAAGCTGGGCACCCTTTCTTCTACGTGTAGCCTTCTAGCTGCAACTCACGCTCCTCCTAGCAGGTGTAGCCCTAAAGGAGGGGTCAATTGATCTCAGCAGCTTCATTCCCAGGCTGCTCCACTGGGATCGGGTGCTGAGCTTTAGGCTGCTCTCAGGTTAGAAAAGCTTGACCTGTGGCCATTCAACCTCAGTCTTGTCCTTTTGAAGATGTATCTCTGAGCGAGTCTACTGGGTTAGTCCTCTGGAGCTGAGCAAGGCCTTCTTATTGACTTGCCCCAGAGTCAGCCTGCCAGAAACCAGTGGTTTTTTTTTTAACTTTTCCTTTTTTTTTTTTTTTTTAAATTAAATAAATAAAAGAATAAGAACCAGAACTTCAAAACTTGGTCTTTAAATATTTCCAGCAAAATGCGCCCAATCTTCAGTGCATTCATGATACCACCTGGTTTACATGTGGTTTGTTCTGTTCTGTATGTGGTTTTTTTCACCTACTTCTAATCCTATTTTAATGCACTTTTTTTTTTTACCCCCTGCACATTGCTGCTGCTTTTTTTTTTTTAAGAACAGAAAATGGATGGTCTTTTGTAACCGTCAAAATAAGCCCAGGCTGCTCACAGGATCTTGCTTCATGCTGGAGTAGGGCTGCATTACTGATCTGCAAGTCTTTGAGGCCTGGAACATCTCAGAAACCTGTAACATCTGGATCAGTTTCTCCTTATTGAGAATGATTCATCTTTTCCTCACAGTCCTTCACCATTTCATTCTCTTGGTGCCATGATAAATATCCTGTTGGAGTTTCTCTGTTGCTCAGTCACTGTCTGAGAGCGGTGGCGTCACCTGGAAAGCTTTGAGGTCTAGAATGCAGCGGGGTTCAACAGCTGGAGAGGGGGAGTTTGGAGGTCATCATCACAGATAGTCATCCTCGCTGGAAGGGGAGGTGGGGTTCGAGCCCTCCATGTCAGAGTCTGAAGAGCTGCCATGTGGAGTCCGGCTCATTTTCCACATCTGGGAGGAAAAGGTCTTCCCCCAGCTGCAGGGATACCCCACCGGCCTCAGCTGGTGAATTAGCTCCAGGGTCACCTGCCAGGGGCTTCTTTCAATTCACTTGCTCCCCTTTGCACTCCTCTGTTTGCTCATGGCTGTTAACATCTGACTGATGTAGGACGTCAGGAGGTCGTCCATCTTGTAGCCCTGGCAGAAAGCGAGGGGAGATGAGACATGTCACCCACCTCTACAGCCTTACACCTGCTTGCTCATTCATGCTGCCTGAAAGCAACTATTTCCAAGCCCATCCCCAACCATCCCTGTCCTCTCCCCACCTTCCCACCCCCATTTCCAAGCCCATCCCCAACCATCCCTGTCCTCTCCCCTCTTTCCCACCCCCATTTCCAAGCCCATCCCCAACCATCCCTGTCCTCTCCCCTCTTTCCCACCCCCATTTCCAAGCCCATCCCCAACCATCCCTGTCCTCTCCCCTCTTTCCCACCCCCATTTCCAAGCCCATCCCCAACCATCCCTGTCCTCTCCCCTCTTTCCCACCCCCATTTCCAAGCCCATCCCCAACCATCCCTGTCCTCTCCCCTCTTTCCCACCCCCATTTCCAAGCCCATCCCCAACCATCCCTGTCCTCTCCCCTCTTTCCCACCCCCATTTCCAAGCCCATCCCCAACCATCCCTGTCCTCTCCCCTCTTTTCCACCCCCATTTCCAAGCCCATCCCTGACCATCCCTGTCCTCTCCCCACCTTCCCACCTTTGCATGTGTTCCCCAGGGGATGCCCCTCACCCCAACCCTTGCCCAAAGCAAGAAGCCAGCCACGGTCCCTGAAAAAGTGCCAAATTCACAGCCAATGAACGGACTGTATCAAACTGTGAGACTTGTGGCACAGGCATCAGTTGAGGCAAAGGGAGTCAAAGTGGCGCTGGATGTGTCTGTGCATGTCAAGACTATCCAGAGTGTCTGGTGACAACACAACTGCTGGCGGGGATACTGGACCTCATAACTGGAGCTTCAGCTGATAGCTACCCATTAAAGGGGAGCGGCTGGCTCTAACGAGGCAGAGAGATTATCCTACACTGGCCAACACTGGAGTTTTTAGAGTTTTCTGGTCCTGGCTGGAATTGGAGACAGGGTCTCACGCCGTCTGGTAATGCCTGTATGTCTATGCAATGCCTGGGCGCAGGATCTGGGGAATAGCTTCAAGGCCCCATCTGGGCCCACAGTACATCTGCTCTTTGCTGTGCCATAGGCCAGTATCAAAATCCACAGCTGCGCACTGCTGCGATGGCAATGCCGCCCACTTGCTGCCTATTTCTGCTACATGTGTCAAGGTGTTTTTAAGCCACCCTGAGAGGCATTGGGTGTTGGCTACAGCCAACACTGGAGGTTTTGGCTGGGCTGTGCCACTGCTCCTGCTGGGACCAAAGCTGGAGGTTCCTGGCGGGAGGGTCTTCCCCGTTTGCTCAGTCAGACTGATGCCATATTTGGGGTCAGGAAGAAATTGTACTCCATCGTCAGACTGGTATGTACTGGGGTGGTGCGGAGGGTTGCCTTCCCCTGCAGTGGGGGTCATTGCCCTGGGGATCTCTTGAGCATATATTAACAACCTTTTATAGAAGCAGGATGTTGTCTGCCGGGGTTCCCCCACTTTACCTGTGGCAGGTTAGGGTGTGATGTCTGCGTTGTATTGGGGTTGATGGTGGTCTTAGGTAGAGCTGAGATTATGGATTGTCTGGGCTGGTTTGGATCGGGATGATCCTGCCTCGGGCAGGGGACTGGACTAGATGACCTCTGGAGGTCCCTTCCAGCCAGCTTCTCTATGACTCTATGGGTCTACAACTCAGCTGGCTGGAAAAACGTCCAACCACACACCACCCTGGCTCCACTGGAAGGAGTCAGCAGATGCGGTGGCAACCGAGTCCAGTGCAACAGCTACAGAGGTATCCGCGCTGCCATTCATGTACTAATCTACCACTGATGCAAAACAAAGCAGCTCCACTGACTTCACAGGTGCTGCCACCACTTGCCCCATGAGCAGGCCTGGCCTCCATGAGCAGATCTTTAGCTCCACCCTGTGCCGATACACATGCTGCCATGTGCTGCATTATGCATGTCCGGCCACTGCACCTTTCTTTCTCTCAATCTGTCTCCATCCCTCCCACTCTCTGAGCAGCCTGGACCAGCCACTTTAAACCCGGCCAGCTCCAGAAACATGCCGTTCTCTTCCGCAAGGCAGGATTTTGCTCCCCACATTGCCCCAACTCTTCTTACCAGGGACGTCTCACAGAGCAGCTTGCTCCCCCTCACCAGGTTGCCAATGGTGATGTGGAAGTACGTGTTGCCGCTGCTCCAGTTGGAAATCTTGGTGAAGGGGTGAGTGATGAGGATATCCTGCCAGGGGCAGAAGCACAGACACTCAGTGCATCCTGATAGCTGCAACTCAATCCCGTCCTTCGGCATTTTCCACCACAAAGACCCAGGAACATTTATGGAGGTGGGAAGGTGATACCCAGCCGCCCCACCTAAGGGTACTGGGCACAAGAGCCAGCTACTGCAAGGGAAGCCAGCATGCCAGCTGCTTTGCCATCACTGCCTGCGTGTAGGCTCTTATTCTGTGATAAAAGCAAGGCTGCTGATCCCACTTTCGTGACTGAGGGGTAAACCTCTTCCCACTGGACATGGGTTGGGGAGTGCACACAGGCAGCTGACATGCAGTATCAGCACCCCAGCAATGACCTGACCATATGCCCATTCCCTGAGAAAACAGGGGGAAGAGACTGCTGTGTTTCAGCCACTCGCTCTGAGCTCCTGTGGACTCGATGGGATGGGAGGGGTGAATGTCATACGCAGGAGCTCATGGAGGCCAGCTCTCCTTGGGCTGGATCCACGGTTCCCTAACATGGAGGGGCTGGGAAAGGAAGTGGTGCTTTACTCAGGCTTGGTGATGGTGCATGGGGAGTCCCCACCCTCCTCCTCTCGAAGGACAAGTGCATAAGACATCTTAGTGGCTGGATGTTGTGCTTGTATTCAGCCTAAATTTTCCAGGTCTCCATTTCACCCTGAGAAGCGTGTTTATAGCCCCTCAGGCCTCCCTACATCCCCCTCTCCCCCATCAGTGGTCAAGGGGGCTTGCGGAGTTATTGTGTCATCGTGTAGCCAAGCTGCAGATGCAGGTTACACACATCCTTGCAACTAAGGTGTCACAATGAAGCGGCTGTTGCAGAGCCCAATAGTCCTCTCCTATGCAGGGTCCTGGATGCATGGGAACTGAACCTCTAGTCTTTTCCAGAGGCACCATAAGGTGAGGCCAAACCTCATGCAGTCGAGAGCTGCAGGCCCTGCTGCGGAGGGGGAAGACATGGGGACAGGGCCCTGCTCTCCTCTGGGCTACCCCAGTGAGCACATGGACTACTGCACTGTATTTTTCAAAGGGAGACTACATGGCTAGCAGTCAGCATTACCACCCCTAAAGCCTGGCAGGAGCCACAGTGAACCCTTCATGCTGAAGAGCCCCAGAAATGCTGATGCGATGAACGCAGATCTGGATTTTCACCCCACCTTCTGTCTGGGGTAATGATTGTTTTTTTGGGGGGAAACACAGCGAACCACAGCTGTCATGTCCCCGGTTGGGCACATCCCATTACACACTGTCCTGTACCTTTGACAATCGGGCTGCTTTTCTGCGGCCCCTCCAGGCCTTTCTCCCCACAACAGGTTTGGGAACATGGGCCTAGAATGGGGAGAATAAATCTCCTTTTTTCCCTCCCTCAGTCCAGCCAGCATGTAAATGCCTAGGGCATGGATCATCTTGTCCTAAGTACCTATATGTCATTGCACGCAATAGGACGTTGACTGTAGCAAGATGTCCTGCCCTTTGCAGCCCGTTCCTTGCCCACGGTGCCCATCTCACCTTGTTTTTGGGATTGATGAGGCTGACTCCATGCTTGTTGATGGCAATTAAGAGGATCTCTGGGTAATTTGGCTCTGTGGTTTGCTGTAATAAAGGACATGACGTGACAGGGGGAACAGAAAGAGCAACAAGAGCGGTTTCGGTGCTCAGGGGTAACCTTCAGAGGAGCTTCAAGTGAATCAGAGCCTCTTTGCTGGTATGGTGAGAGCCGTCCAGTTAATTACTGACCCTCAACTCGCCCATGTGCACCCAAGTGAGTGGACAAGGAAGTTATTGGTGGTTTCAGGCTCTGGGCTTTTCTGTTCCTTCCCCTGCTGGGTTTGCTGTTGGAGGCAGCAGGGAAGGGAACTGTCCTGTTACTGGTCCAGTGACACTGGGGCACGCTGGAAAGCTCCAGCTGGCCCCTCTCTCTTCACAGCCCTTGTGCCCTGGGCTAAATTGAACATTTCCCTTTGCTCTGCCTAGCCTAGTCTGGTCAGTCCTGGCAGGAGACGTTTGACCCAATGTGGAACCCAAGTCCCAGTCAGAGGCTCAATCTGTCCTGCACCCTAGTCCCCTGTTGGTAAAATGGGGGTGCCCTCATTCCTTTCTCTGTGCTGGACTGCAAGTGAGGACTGATGCCTTGATGGCCCAGATGCTGCCTATGGCAAGTGCCATCTGGGGATGTAAAGAGGAGTGAGATGAAGTCCTGCTCTGCTAAAGTGAGTTTCTGACTGCTGTGCACCCTGGCAACCTCTGCTGTGACCCCAGGTTGCTGCAAGACGGGTCCTCCATGGCTCCCCTTCCAGCACGCACCTGGGGAGGGATTGTGGAGCCCACCCACCATTTCCCTGTGTCCCTGCTCCTCCCACCCTGTACCTTCACTTCAAAGAAAGCTGATCCAAATGTAGGCCACTTGAAGATAATCTTCAGGAAGGTGAGCTTGGCGTCTTCTCTCGATTTGCCCGCGTGCTTATTGTAATATGCCACGATGGACTGCAACAGAAAGCACACGGGGGCTACCACAGGGCTCCCGAGGCCACCGAGAATGCTGATGTGTTAATGCAAAGGGCAGCCGGCTACATCGAGAGCTTATGGGAGCGACCAGAAACCACAAAATGTCACCATCAAGTCTTCTGTGTTAATGGAGAGCCACTGGGCACTCCTCTGGGTATCAGCCATTGAGCTGATAGAAACATGCCTGTAGGAAGTATGTAGGGCTTTCAGACCGTGGAGGTTTTATTTGCTTCCTAAGGGCTTTTGCTGCTGTGAAGCAGAGTGGTCTAGTGGAGGAGGAATGAACCTAAGCTGCAGGAGCTGTGGGTCAGTTCCCAGGTCTGATGTGCTAAGCCCTTTTGTGGCTCCAGACACCTCAGTTTTCCCCCTGGGAAATGGGAAGAATCAATAACCCTTCCTCCCTCCCTGTCTGGCTTGCATGTACATGCCTTGGGGCATGGGCTGTCTTCTCCTAAGTGCTTGTGTGTCATTGCGCACATTGGGACAGTGGCTGTAGCAAGGCCTCTCTTCTGCTAGTAGTAACAGCTACAGAGGGTGCAAGTTTAGCCCCTTGGTGGGGTGCATTACTGGTTCCCTTGCTGTGGCTGATCAGTACAGGCCCTGAGGATGGTACAGCCCCAAGCAGAAACCTTAGTTGAGTAAGATGACAGCTGTTACACAAGAGTATCCAGGAGCTGGGCCATGGGAATAGCTTAGTGTGGCTCACCCGTTTCCAGTCATCTGGAGCGAGTTGCCGGATGAGGTCCTGAGGCACCAGCTCCTTCAAGAGCTTGGGTATGCTGGGGAAGTAGGACTTGTCATCCTCAAACTTCACACGGTAGATGAGCGCGGCCAGCTGCAAGACCTCCTCCCGGCTGCACTTGTGGTAGCCCCGCAGGTACTTGGGTAATTCCTGCACAGGAGAGCCATTGGCAGTGATGGGGTGACTGCCATCACCCAGCACCTCCTAAATGACTGTGTCCCAGGAGAGGGTGGCTACTTGAAAAGATATGCTGGGTTGTCCCAAGAGGTAAATGCTCATGGATGGCAAAGGTAGCTCAGAGGCTAGTGGCACTAGTGCAGGGGTTTTCTATCCTGTGGGGAGTGGCTGGGGAAAGGCAGGGCAATGGTACCTCCTTGGAGGTTGCAATCCCCCTGTCGAGAGCCCTGGCCTGGCTATCGGAGGCCAGGGCAGGGGATGTTGGATGCAACTGGTGCTCACAAGAGCTTGCTCCCCACCTTTGAAACAAGCCTCAGCCCAACATTTGTGCATATCATAGCTACAACCATTACCAATTTTCTGAGTCAACTGAGGGCCCCCAACCATTGCAGGCTCATGGCGTACCTGATAATAGTGGAAAATAGAGTCAGCCATGGGATCCTTGCCAGGCATGGTGTTTGTCCACAGTTTCTTCATGAAGAACACTTGGTAGGTGAGAGAAGGCACTATACCTGGAGAAAGGAATCGGCTTGTAATAGATGCTTGGATCACTAGATGGCAGCTTTCACCACCATCCCAGAGACTCCTCTTGCAGTCTGGGACTGGAAAAGCAGGAGGGCTAAAGCAGGGGAACAGAAGTGTGATGGCTTTAAAGCCACCTGCTGAAAGCTGCAGAGTGTCTGTCTGAATGCTGCGGGTTTCTACATGTGATGAAGTCTGAACAGCAGGCACAGATACCCAGGAAACATTAGTCTTCATGGCAGAGGCTGATGTTTTTTCCAGTCCCCGGGAGGTGTGGGGGTGTAGTGAAGAAAGGAGAAAGGAGTGGGGGGAGAGGGAGAGGAGTCTTACCTGCCTGGGCTTTCCTCACTTGAGCAGCAGCTGCTACTGCATGGCCTGGGGTGCTGCCAGTGGGGGAGAGGCAGCAGTGCTGGGGGCCTGTCCTGGTGCCCTGTTCACCCTCTCCTACCCGCGTGGGCAGGGCTGACCCTCCCATGGCAAAGCCCCCCAGGTGGAAGGGGTGTCTTGCCACCCACCTTCCTCCACCAGATACACAGTTGGGCATGGCGCTGCCCTGCCCAGCTCCCACTGGCCAGTTCTGCCTGCTGTGGAAAGACTCCTGAGGGGAGCGGACCATACTGGTGACCCCTCTACATCAGTGCCAGGGGCTGGTGCCCCATTTGCCCCACCCTAGCTATGCTACTGCTCCAGGGGAAGGCACTCCTCAATGTCACGGTCCAGTCCTCAGTCCTCCTGACCTCTACAATCACAAAACATCCCTGATTCTTGCCAAAACTCATCCTATCCTCTGACTACTAGCCCCATATGCTGCTCAGCTATATGTTACTGCCAGGTTTGATCCAGAGCAGATCAAGAGTGACTACAAAGCTCTGGGTTGGAAGGTGTGAGACAGGGGCATAGGTTTCGTTTTCACTTCTCCTTCCAGTCACTGGTCCAGCTTGCAAAGGGACACTTGTATCCTAGAGATCAATGTACGGTTGTACAATGTGGCCTGCAGAGCTTTGGCTTCCTCAGCCGAGAGGTGGTGTCCTAGGAAGATGACCTGCAGAAAGCTGAGATGCCCGTTGCCTAATGAAGAAGGGGAAGAGCATCTTTGCTCATGGATATACTAATCTACCCAAGAAGGTTTTAAACTAAGGTCAAAGATGGATGGAGACAAAAGCCCAGAGGAGCGAGGATCACAATTTTGAAAAAAAAGGCTTACGCAGCAGAAGGAATATGGGAATCTAGCAATGTTGTAAGAGGGAAATTAGTGGTGCAATCAACTGGTTCCCTCAGACTAATGCAAGATGTAATGGGAATAAGGTCAGAGAACTAGAAGTTATTTATTACATTAGCAGATGACTTCCAGCTGGGTGGTTTAGCAGATCCATAAGAAAACAGAATGATGGCCTTGCAAATTGGAAAAATGGTTTGAAAAAAGCAGAATGAAATTCAATAAGGACAAGTGCAAAGTCCTGCGCTTAGGAAGGAACAATCACATGCCCAAATACAAACTGGGGAACAACTGCTACAGTACTATAGAGAAGGATATGGGGGTTATGGCGGGTCACAAGCTCAGGATGAGCTGACAATATAATACTGCTGCAAACATAAGTGCACGTAGCAGGCAGAGATGTGTTAACAGGAGGGCTGAATGCAACATTTTCCCTCTGTTCAGCACTGGTGAAGCCCTGCCTGCATCTTGAGCCCACTTTCAAGCACCATAATTAAAAAAAAAAAAAAAAGATGTGAACAAAGTGGAGAAAGTTCAGAGAAGAAATGAGTTGAAGTCTAGAAAACCTGACACCTGAAAAAGGTGAGAAGAATCAGGATGATTTAGTCTGGAGAAGCGAAGACTGAGGGGGGATTTGATAACAGGCTGCAAATATGAAACAAGGACTGCTAGAAAGAAGATGGCAATCACTTGTTCTCTGGGTTCATAGAAAACTGGACAAGAAGGAATAAGCTTAAATTGCAAGAAGGGATGTTTAGCCTGGGTAGCAGAAAGACCTTTCTAACTACACGGGTGGCTATGTGCTGGGGCACGCTGCCTAGAGAGGCTGTGGAGTTTCACTCACTGGGAGATTTTAGGTGCTGGTTAGATAAAGACTTCACTGGGACGGTTGAGACAGACACGATAGCAAGGGCTAGGACTACATGGTCTCCTGAGATCCCCTCCCCTCCTATGATGCCTAGAGACTCCTGAGTGGAAACAGGAATAAGACGAGTGGGCACAGTAGAGTTAATGGGCCCCACAAGGCAGCAACATCGACTCCTGAAGCAAAATTAAGTACTCTCTAACTACATGTGTAGGTTGCTAGATCTTGGAGAAATGCTGGTTGTTAATTAAAGTGCACTTGCTCAGAGAAACCAGGCAGCCAAGAGTAAATTTATACGAGTGGATCTTTTCTTACATGCAGAATTGCAAGACCAAAACATTACACGATGCTGAACACATGAGAGTATAGCCTTTATAAACTACCGGGAAGAGGAGCATCTTTAAATGGCCACCAGGACCCTGTGAGATATCGCACCAGTCTTGTGCCAGGGAAAGGAGACAGCACGAACTGCAAAACGCTACAATTACCATCTTTTGCCGGTCTTGCTTTCTTTATCCAGTCTGTAAGGTGTCTGACAAAGTCGAAGAAGAAGTCTCCTTCTGGGACACTGATGACCTATGAAAATACATCCGCATTGTTAGCAGAACCAGGTAAACATTCGCTACCCGCCCTGCTTGCAGACGCAGGAAATCAGCAGCGTTTGAATTAAACCATGACTGAAACAGGATCAGAGACTTTCTTTTATGTTGGCGTCTCTTTTGATGCAGTCACAGGCCGGCTGAATCCCTCCCTCCTTCTCGTATATTTTACCCAAGCTGGTTTTTAAGATCTAAGGAATCCACAGA